TTCTCTTCTTCCTGTCTGCATCTCAAAGGAGTTCAGTCTAGCAGAGCAGCTGCAAATGAGCGAGCTGGAAAAACAGGGCTTGGTTCTCCATTCCCAAAAGTGATGCAGGATGAAAGGAAAGGAAAGGAAAGTCATGCAATCCTAATGCAGATGGTCTGGACAATGACTACCATGCCCCTATCCTCACACTACAGCATGCGTATGGCCAGGGCCAAACACGTAGTAAGCACTTTATAATTACTTGTTCAGTGAATCCTACAGTATGATGCAGTGCAATGTTGTTTAACATATCATAGTTGCAACCCTATTGTTGGATTAAGAAATTAATTTAATGGTCACAAATATTTCAAATATTAGAAGATTATAGGGTAGTAAATAAAGGGGTCTATCATACAAATAAAAAATACGTGTATGTGTTTATACTGGGTCATGATGTAAAATGTATTTCTGAGGGTATCAGGAAATATTAAAAGCCATTGGTGGAGTGGAAACTACTGGGGTATTTGGGTCAGAAAGATCTGACTTTGAATTCTAATGCCTGCATGAGACACTTGGGTATGTTTCTTAAATCTGTCTGCGCATCAAATGTGTATTTAAAGTCCACTGTGTGTTATGCACTATGCTCTGTGTGGAGGATACAGTGGCGAAAAAGTTATACTCTTTGCCTTTAATAAGTGTCAATCTCTCTTCAACACTTCAGTGGCTCTGGCACTGGTTAGTAAGATGTTTGGGAAAGAAGAAATCTTCGGCAAGTTCAATCCTGGCTAAATCTCCTGATGGGCCAATGAAATCCAAATTTATTTCTGCACTCTGTCACCTCTCTTCTTAAAAATGATGACAACCCAATGCTAAATCCTCTCCCCAGCCATAAAACAAGTTTAAATTCCTATAGTGCCAGGCAGGTAACCAATGCTAGAAACAAAGAGTGACATGTCACAGCTCTGCCTTCTCTTTCTATTCCTCCAAAGGCTTGCAGAATTTTGTTGATCCATCAATGGCCAAAATTGCTGTCTTGCCCTCCTTTGGGGTACATGAACCATGGGTTAACACTCTCAGGGAGGCATGGAGAGCCAAGATAAGTTCCCAGTCTTCTCTTTGCAACTCACATGGTAAAATGTTGTGAAGTAGGCAAGTTTTGTTCTCGAAGTCTGCAGCTGACCCTCTTTGCAGCTGTTCTTTTCCTCACAATATTCCCATTTCCACTGTGCCAAGCATGCCCCTCCCATAGTAATACTCACTTTTAAATCATGAAATATCTTTCATTGATAATTGAACATGAATGAGTGTAAGTCAATAGACCACCTCTCTTGTAAGTATTTACATGCTAAATCTGTTTCATCATGTCAAATGCAAGGCCTTTATCCCTGGTGCAGGAATATATATATTGTACATTAATTGTACATTAGCAAGATGTGTGAGGTGGCAGTCAGAACAGAGACCCTTTTCCTGGTCCCTGAGGAAGCACAACACAGGAGTGGCTGAAGAAGTCTCCATTATGATAAATTGAGTCTTGAGTCAGACCAGACCAGGTCTTAATGATAACAGATATCATCTGCAAGGAAGGAGTAAGAAAGGCCCTGAAGGAAAATAAATTGTGATTGTAAAGAGGCTTTGTCTTCAGTGCTCTCCTTGCCCCACTTTCTCTTAAAGATCAGTCTCCTGACTTGGAGCCTCCTACCCCACAGACTATCCTTAGGGTAGTCAGGGTCATTCAGTTGTCCGATCGAGAATTCACCTGCTATGACCTTTATTCTCCAGGCCATTCCTCCTTTGTCTCTTATCAAAATTTATTTGTCCTATGTCCCATTTTATCAATGTGCTTTCCTCTGCTAGGTCATATGAAACTATAACTTGATCATCATTGTTAATATGACTCTGGGGTATAAGTAGAGTGAGTATCTTAAATGAAATAGGAAGTCTTGTGTTGAGAATATCAATTTCCACGAGAGGAAGAAGATATTAGGTGAGGAAGCCTATGGGATTAAGAAGGTGTGAGTATCCTTAAGTCAGCCTCATTTTCAGCATGTTCTCATGGTGCTGAGTTAGGCCTTGTAGGAGATAAAAACAACAAGACCCATGGCCTCCATGAGTTTACAGTTAAGCAGAGTGGGCTGAGCAATCTTGGATGCCAAGCACTTGCATCCACCACTTTCAGTTTTATTTTACTATGGTAAGTTTTATCATGTTCTTTCAAGAGACAAAGGCTCAGAAAATAAACTATTTTTCCTAAGTTCTATATAAACTGTGAGAGGTGAAGTCAGGATTTAGATTCAAGCCTGGTTTGGTTTTGAAGATCATGTTCTTTCCAGCAGTCCATACTGTTACGGAAACAGAAGCCAAGAGGCTAGATGGAGAAGAGTGATGGGTTGCTGTGTATGACTGACTTTGCCTGTAATGGGGTTTTCAAGAAGGGAATGACCCCAGTTGCTGGAGAAGAGAAAACTATTTCAGAGAACTGGAGAGTGATGTTCCACTAAGTTCTGAAGCCATGAAGACAACATATTTATTTGAAAGTAGCTGGAGGAAGAGAGGTCTTTCCAGGCAGGATGATCAATTTAAGGAAAGGCTTAGGAGTAGAAATAAAAGTGTGCTGGAAGCTTAAGTGGGGAAACTTCATTACAGTAATGAAAATTATTCCTTGTGAGCCACTTTCTCTTTTACCTCATCTTAATTCAGCTGAGAGAGGGAGAGCAAACACAGGAGAGGGCTCCCTTCTCAGGGACAGGAACTCAGCAAACCCAGCCTTCCTCACAGTACCAGCTGGAGACACTGCCTAAGAGGATGTTCAGAGTCCCCAAGGCAAGGGTCCTTTTCTCAGATGTCCTAGTGATTCAGGTTGTAAACTTCCAGAAGGAAAGGTGAAGGAGCCAGTTGTTTCTCTTTCCTTTTTGGAATCCTGGCCCATTTCAATTTATATAACACAGCTTAATCCACAGAAACAGGAGCTAGAAGGCAGGTCCTTTCTCTCTCTTTTATTTTTTTTCCAAGACATAGAAACCTTTATTTTCTCCCTATAACATGAACCAGTGCTGTTAAATAATATTGGATAATTGCACCTGTCGTACTCCCCATATTGTACTGAGGAAAAATAATTGCTGGTTTTCTGCTTGCAGTTTAGCTGTGACTCCGTCATTTGACTTGGAGCATGTCATTTTCTCCCATTTTAGACTGTGTACAGTCAAACTCTGTGAAAGGACTCACAGCAGCCCTGCGTGTGTGAGTGGGCACGGGCCTTATTCAGCAATGGTTTCTAATTTATACAGCATTGAAAATCCACAGCTATAAATAAACAGTTCTGATGGCTTTGCTGCCTACTCAAATGCTTTATAAAAAAAAAAGTGCCACCAACTACATGAGAAAGGAAAACAATATCTGGATATGGATTCTGGTTTCTGACACTTGGCCCTCGGAGAAGGAACACCCAGGTGTGGGATGGGTTCAATGCTAGCCATGCGGCCTTCCGGGAGGCCTGGCCTCACCCCACTCATTCCTCAGCCTCCTCCCACTCCTCATGTGCGGGCACAACGTGTTTGGGGATTACAGTGTATGAGACTGACTTCCTGTTATGACAAGTATTGTGAGTAGGTGCAGAGGAGCTAGAAATAGCTTGAGAAATGTATGACTCTTTTGGTGGGGGAGGGGAGGGCTAATGTATTGTTTAGGTAAACAAGATAAATCCTCTCCCAAATTCAAAATTAGTCACACATGAGACAGTGCGTCCAAAATATAAGCACAGGGACGTGTGAGGTCCATGAGGCAGTGGTGTCGCTACTACCTCTGCCTGTGTGTATGGGTGAGAATTTCCACCAAGTTGGGGTACCCTGACCACCTTTTGCCTTGAATATATACAAGCACTTTTGCTTTTGTAAATAAAGGCCTTCTGCCTGTAATACAAAAGACGGTGGACTCAAGAAGCAACCATCTGTGTAACCTTGGACCAGTCTTTTCCCTCCTCTGAACCCAGTGCTGAATTAGAGCCAGCTTGTACAGGCTTGCAAGGACGAAGTGCTGTTCATCTCTTCCCAACTCTACATTCAGTGACTTGTTGATAGCTTGAAAAAGACTGTGATAGAGTGTTTACACCATGGAAATAGGCAAACACTATATATCAGAACCTTAAAATTTTTTAAGTTTTCTAGAGAACTGATTTGTAAACATTTACCAGCACACCAATATCAGAAACTCAGCTTACTTATCTGTAAAATAAGAACATAATACACTTTCTGCTTACAAGATTTCTGTGCAGATAAAATAAGGTTATGGTGGTAGGTGTGATTCTAAATTGAGTGACACTATACAAATATTATTGCTGGTTATCTCATTTGTATTGTTTTTTAAGCACTAATAGCCTAATGCAATCTTATGTAAGCACTGCATACCTTTTAATGAATGTTTAATTGATATTCTTTATAGGTGTTTTGTTGCTTCTCTTTTCTAAAGTTACAGCAGCACCAAGGAAGCATTGTGCTCAATGGGAAATGGTTCTGCAATATTTCTGGTGTTTGAATAGGTACTGCACAATGGCCAGTCATGCAGCAATCAAGGCTTAACTTGGCCTTGGGGACAGTAAAGCCACAAATAAAAATTTGCATCCCATCCAAGAGCTTACTACGACCCTGAGAAGTATGCAGCTGGAGCCATCTTTGGGATGTGGAAAATTTGGGTGATCCCTGGTGGGCTTCATACTTGGAGAATTTCCACTGTGGCAACTGCTTCTCAGCTCCTACTGAGACCAGGTGCTCTGAGCAGCCAACAGGTGGCAGGTATAGGAAAAGAGGGGCTTTTCCCAGCTCACTTCAGAAAGACTTGAGGCTAATACTTACCTGAGTGTAAAGGAGTATGGATCAAGCAGGTTTCTTGGTGTCTGTCCTAGTCTTCTCTTATACTGCCTGCCCTACAGGTATAGCCTGCTGTTCCCTAACCCTGCAAGACCACTCTTGGTATTTCTGAGGTATTTCTGGTGTTGGAATAAATATTGCACAATGGTCAGTTATGTAGCAATTAAAGTTTAATTTGGTCCCAAGCACAGTTTTACCAGATTTTATGCATTTTCACCAAATTTCTCTTGTATTATGTTTGGTTGTGAAGCCCAAGTACAATTTTCTGTGGCGCCCAAACCCCAGTCCCCCTGGGCCTTATGACACACTGTTAGATTCCACTATCTCTATCTACTGCTAGACATTTATCATTTGTGTTCTTTATAAAATATGCCTGTAAAACCTGGGAAATTCCACTAGAAAAGTCAAAGCAGGGTTTATGAGTGTGCTTGCTGACAGTCAGCTTTGTTAATTCATAAACTAACTCAGCAAAGTGCTTTGTACCAAAGCACTCTCAGCACTCCTCATAACCATATCACTTCCCATTTAGACTGTTCCCCAAGTAAAATGTACATTTATTTGACAAGTCAATCAATACTTGAATAGAAGAGATTTTGACAGTGTCACTATGTTCACTGTTTATATCTTCCCTGAATGCTCGCCCACAAGAGGGACAGATTTCTTAATACTTTTTATAATTTATTTTCTCCTTGCTCCAAATAATTTGCTATTATACCATACCAGGTAGAGAGACAACTTTAGTAGCTGCCATCTCCCTGCACTTCTACCCAGACTGGGGCGGGGGGAGGGAGGTGTGGCAGGGAGGATCAGATGCAATCCATGAAAATAACAAGCTTATGAAAAATGCTTATTTCTAGAAAATATTATGAGATTATTAAATACGAGATTATTAAAAAATGGCACAGGACTGAGAATTAAAAGATATTAGAGACAAAAATCTCTTGTCCCAGTTCTGACACTAACTCTTTGGCCTCATGCAGGTAACTTCTCATCTAGGTCCTCAGCAACTGCCTGAGTAAACGGTTTTAACAATCTTAAATTCTTTTCTCTGTCTAAACATTCTCTGACACTGAGTTAATGAGTTTCTTTGGCCTGTGGCCAGAATTTGACCATAGACCATCCTACACAGAGGTCAGATGAAGGTAACAAATTCTGAAACAGCAGCAGTTATTTTTGGCATGTTCAGTAAGTCTTTCGAACCCAGGAGTCCTACCCAAGTTAATCTACCTTCATAACCCTCTTATTAAATTTAAATATTCTTTACTGTCCTTTCTACTTTCTTATGTTTCCCCACCACCACCCTCCACCAAACAGAAAAAAAGATTGAAAAAAACTTTCATGTTTTCTTCCTTTTTAGTTCTTGGAAAACAGCATATAATCACTTCTTCTTCTTTGACTGCCCCACATCACCTGTGCAAACAAGAACAGAGAGGGACTTCAGACTTCAGAGTTTCCCTAACTAGTGTTCTTAGGTAAAAAGACATTCACTGTGACTTGAGGCAGTGGAAAGTTGAGGACACATTTCCAATGAAAAAGGATGTAATTTAAGGATATCTGTCACATACCCACCAAAGTGCTAGAGAAGGCACTGTCCCCCAAAGTGTCTGTGTGGAGTTCCAACAATCGTTTCCTTCTGTATAAATTTACATGGTGTGAATATAACCGAAATAATATTTTCTTTTTTTGTTTCTAGCAAGTAGGGGTGGGTGCTTAGTCTTGCATTCTCATGAGGCTGAGCCATTTCTAGGCTTCTCTGAGTCTTCAGAATTCCTCTCTAACCACATTTCCACAATGAATGGCTAGAGATAAGAAAACTGTTACTTAGATCATATTATCTTATCCAAACAAAGTTCACAAAATGGATTTCAAACTTTCACTGGGAAATAATATTGTTTGTTATCATTCTCCTTTATTGATGGGAGGTTTTCCAAGTGGAACACCTCCTAGCTTGTGCTTAGGGGGTTAAGTCCACTCCTGAGTTTAGTCCTTTCTTCATCCTCTGTTAATGCTAAGGAGTAGAGATATTTTAGGCCAAACATTTAATGGTCATTTTCTGTAAGATACAAACATTTTTTGCTGGCATGGTAAAGGAATCATTCTTTTAATCAGTATCACTATGGATACTATATGTAATTACACATCTTATTATTCCAATAGTCAGAACACAGGATCAGTAAAAAAATACTATTCACAAAGATTTACACCTATATATCTACAACCACAAAAGCTACTGCTAGACTTCAAGTTGAAAATTTGAAGAACATGTGCCTAGTTTTAGCTAGTTGGCTTAGAAAAGGGTGAGAAGGCAGATGGTTAGGGGAGTATGAGGTGTTAGAGGAAAGAGATTTGAGCACTGATGAGTACAGTCACAGTGCAAATGCAGCAGGAAATAAATGGAGCTGAGGGCTGTTGGAGGAGGCCTCATGGGGAAAGAGGCTGAGGAAGAGGGATAAGGAATAATCTAGAGTGGACTGTTCAGGGAGAAGAAGTTAGGACAAGAAAGGCACACGTGCTTTAGAATACACAAAGAGTCATCCCATGATAAGATTCTTTTGTTATGAAATGATCAGGGACAACTTGCAAGGCAGACCATATAACAAAGTTCTTCATGGATAAAACCAAAGAAGTAGACTAGAGGGTCTCTAAGTAGCTTTTAACAATAACATCTCCTTTTAAAAAATCTGCTCTAGAGCAAATAGTATTAAAAGAAGGCCTTAGTTCATTCTACCCAAGGCACCATCATGAGGTCACTTGGCCAGACTGAAATTTTCAGTTTATAAACTATCCTTGGCAAAAAAAAAGGATCTATGGTCTCAGCACATATCCCTCCTGGATATAAGTAGAGGGGTCATGGGCTTCCAGGCCAAAATGGAAGGCTTCCTATACGTAGCAGATGTGGCCAGGAGGCAGGTAGTTCACTGTCCCTGACCCTTATTAGTATTTTAAAATTTGCCTAGTGATTTCACAGAGTGCAGTCAAGGTCAAGAACTACTGCTAGAGAGATACCTGCATATTAGGTGGGTCTTGACTGATACTTCTTGACTGCTCAATACTTGGCTGGTGACTCCCAGCTAAGCCATAATGGGTCTCAGGATTTCAGAAGCTGAGATTCCAATTAATTCTAGCTTGAATTAGCTTGACCTCCTATTTCACTCTTTAGGTTCTTCAGGAACCACACCATCTCTGTCAATTTGCATTCAGTTAGGTGGTTGTTACTTTTAATTTCCTTAGCTGGGAAAACTGGTAATTCATGCATAAAATAGAAGGGGAGGATTAGAATATCCACATAGAAAAGAAGGTTACGCATTTTTGCTGAAGAAGGAGATGACTAGCAGCAATAGTGACTAACCCTCTGTGCTAGGCCCTGTTTTTGCACTTGACACTTCCCAAGTCATTTATATATAGTTTTCCAGGATCCTAGGAGGTGGGTACTAATACTGTGCTCCATGATGCACACGAGAAAACTGAAACAAGAAGACACTGAGTGCCTTGCACAGTGTCAGAGACCTGTAAGTGGTTAAGAACAAGTTAGGAACCCAGGCAGTCTGGCACAGAACCTTTCTCCTAACCACTGCTTCCCACAGCATCAACAATGCACTCCTTTGAGTTTCTGTTCTCATCCAAGGAGTCCCAGGCTCTGGAAGGAGGTATGAAAGGAAAGTCAGTGCTGAATTTGAACAGAGTAAATGAATACTTATTAAGTGTTCCCATAGATCCCGAACAGAAGGTTTGGAGAGGAACTCGGATACAGAGGAACCACCCAACTGACTGACCAAGGTTAGACAATGCTATACTATATGCCCACAGACACAGCAGGCATTAACCAGTACCAAACTGGGACATGCAGTTGCCCTACTTAGAGGCCATCTGAATGGTATAGACACAGGTTACATAGTTGAGGGAAGCCTTAGTGTTTTAAACAGACTAGGACATAGGCAAATGTGTTTGCATAAATAGCTCTGTTTAATTTTAGGCAATTTAAAAGTATTCACTGCCATTGGAATTCTAAGTGATCTAACTTCTCTCTCTTTTAAAAAAAAAATATATATTGATTTTAGAAAGAGAGAGAGATCAAGCCTGCAACTTTGGCATATCAGGGAGATGCTGTAACCAACTGAGCTACACAGCCAGCACTCTGACTTCTCTTTTAATGTTTATTCAACCATTTGTAATTAAGATATGTTCAGAATTTAACACATTTATGATCGTGTTCTGATGTTATATAGCATCAATGACTTTTTACTCATTCTATTCTTAAGGAGTTAAAAATCTAGAGAGAGGAGAAACACAGCAGTTTCCATCTATTCACAGTAATCTGTTCCTCACATAAACATTTACATAGGCACGATGTGAATGAAGGTCCACATGGTGAAATCAGCCTGTTTGCTCACGGGACCTAATTGTAGTGAAAAATTGGATATAGTACTTAAACAACAGGGCTTACCAAAAAGAGCTTGGTGTTGAAAATAGTGAATCAGTAACAGTAAATATAGTGAAAATTTTGCTTTTTAATTTAATGGATGTTTCAAAGTCACTGTTTAACGATTTAAAAATTAATCACTATTGAGCGAAACACAATTGATTTAGTAAAAAGTTATTGTTGTCTGAGCTCTGAATAATCGATTTTTTCTCTGCACATCTTTATTTGCCAAATTTTAAATGCATTAGTTTCTTCTTCTTCTCTTTTTTTAAAATATAGATTTGGGGAAAGCATCAAAAATCTTTACCCAGAATTTCAAGGAGCCAAAACCAGTTAGAATTAGATGTCAACACATCTGAAATGTCAACACATTCTTTTTTCTGGATAGTTTCCTGTGATTTGGGATCCTGATTTTGGGAATAATTTTTAGTTTCATTTTTTCAATGTTTGCTTTCAAGGAAGATATTGCCTTTGGGACTTTCTTAACTGGTTAAATTCTCCACAAGTAGAAAACATGTGAGAAAGCTAAATGCGTGCTGATTTATCTCCAGGGTCTCAGTCTCCTCTCAGAAATATACACTCTTGTACTGAACCTTCTGAAACAATTTTTTTTTCTTTTATACAAGGCTTCTGTTTTCACACCAGTTCATAGATTGGGCGGAAGATGCCACTTCTGCCATTTCTATTCTGATAGAACAGAATGGCATGTGGGTGTGTGATGTGGGGGACTGTATGTGACTCTTGCCTTCCTTATATACAAAATCACTGTACAGTTCCTGCACTTCTCCTTGGTTTGGGAAAATAATCATGGGTATTTTGCAACCTGACATTTTGGTGGTTAATTTTCCAACAAAATAATATTTGGGGGGTTGGGGGGGTGGGAGAAGCAGAGGCAATAAAATTTTCCATTTTAAAATCACATCAGTTAAGATTTTTTTTCTTATGAAGAAGCAACATTGTTCTACACACTGATAATTAGAAAACTTAACTTGCTGACATATTGCCCTGTCTAAATGAGAATTTCAATCTCAAGTACAGGATGTGATCTTATCTGGTAAACGCTTTACTAAAGATTGAGAAGCAACCTAATGGGAGAGGGATGGGAACTCATCTGGGAAGGCTCTGAGCACTGCTGAGGCTGGAAAAGCTGAAAGGGTCATTTCCTTCAAAACCAAACCAAACCAAATTAAAAGAAATAACAACAACAACAGAATAACCTTGACAATTAAACATCTTATATCCCTCAAGCCCTCACTTAAGGGAGGGAGACTGAGAGTCCATTTGTTTGTGCCGGGAGTGGTGACAACTTGCTCTCAGGGTCCCAAGTTCTCTAAAGATTATTTTTAGCCTTGAAGTTAAATGAAGTGCTGTTTTAGGGAGGAAGGGAGAGAATTTCATGGAGTTCTCTGAGAGAGTATGAACTTCCCCCAGGCTTTTCCTTTGCCTACCTTGATAAGACCCATCTGAGTCCTTGGACAAAAGCATCGAACATCACTGCTTTCTGCTTTGAACTAGTTTCTCCTTTGTTTCCAGAAGGAGTGGAGAGAGTGCAAGGAAGAAGTGTTTCCAGGTAAAACACAAATAAACTGACCCCATTTCCAGTGGTTGAGCTTCTCTCCAAGTAGGTAGACGCTGGCACCACAGATGCAGCTGACAGAGAAGAAGGCTGCTAGGCTGACTGGGCTGAGTTTGGCAAACATAGGATACACCCATGTACCAGTTTTTAAGTAGATCCATAGGACGCTGCAGAAAATAACAAGCCACAATGACTGAAACAGTACAGGGGAAAAGCTTTTTTCTTTTTAGATCTATGAGTTCTAGCTCTGGTAAATAAAAAGAAGGCATGGGGGATATTCATCACCAGTTGAAATGTTCCACTAACCTACAGAAGTGAGCCTTTTCTAGATAGACTTGAATCAATGAGACATCCTATTTCATGGACTGGGTTGGCTAGTTTACATAATCTATTAAATTCAATGATGGTGAAAAAATATAGGAGGACATTGAACACATCATTAGTCAAAAACAATATGGGAGAACATGAATTATTCCTTTCCCCGAGAGGTATGGCCTGCTGAGACATTGAGCCTTCTAAGACCACATCCCTTTGCTGGGTCTCAGCCAAACAAATGGGTTTGCATTTCTGGACCTAACAGTCATGTCTAGATTTCCATTAGCTCTCCAAGTCCATTGGGGTAGGAAGGACAGAGATTGAGCATTATTATTCTAACACAATATGCCTGGGGTTTAATTGTTGGCCCTGATTTTACCGCCTGGATATAGACATGGATAGCGTGTTAAGTATGAATGGATGGAATTGCAGGAGGCTCAGGTCTTGCTCATGTGAGGATAGAATATGAGTCATTTCTGTAAGCCAAAGGAAGGAAATAAATGCTAGGAGAGGAGCCATAATGTCTAAGTGAAGCCGAAAAATGCAGTTTTCTGGAAATCAACTGTACTAGAAGATGCCAAAGCCTGAAATAACTTTTAAAATTAAATATGGAGAAGATGATGTATCAGCTATAGTTTATAATTGGTTAAGACTACAGAATCTGGAACCAGATTTCTGTGATTCAAATTCTAGTTCTGCCATCTATCAGTCATGTTGCTTTCAACAATTTATTAAACTTTTCTGTCCCCTGCCCTCATATGTAAAGTGGGGTTGCAAATATCATGCACCTTATAAGGTCATTGTAAGGATTAAAGGAGTTAACACATGTAAAACAGAACATTGCCTGGCATATTGCTTCTCTCCATTAGGGATGGCACAGTGGGAGTCCTCTCAGCAATCTTTCTTTTGAGGTTATTCATTTCTTGTAACAATTAGGATATGCTTTGGGTAGGCTCCATAAATGACACTAAAATTTAGATAGCCCAAGTTATCAAAAGATGGAAGAATGAAATTCTGTGATTAATTAAACTTTCAAAAATCCAAATGTAATCTTGATTGTTTCAAATACTTGAAGTTTGTCAAATGTTTGTGGAAGAGACAAGGGCTAATATCAGGACCAGAACTATGATGAAGCAAGAATTTCAGGGGCCATTTCTGTGCATCAAAAGACACAATCAAAAGAGTGAAAATGCAACTTATGGAATTGGAAAAATATTGGCAAATCATATATCTGAGAAGGAATTAATTTCCAGAATATATAAGAACTCCTATAACTCAACACACAACCTAATTAATTAAAACCTAACTTAAAATGGATTAAGAACTTGAATAGACATTCCTCCAAAATAGGTATAAAAATAGTCAACAATCACATGAAAAGATATACATTTGCATTTCATTTTTATTTCCCTACAATGTCACTGATTGTTGGGGAAATGCAGATTAAAACTACAATGAGATACCACTTCACACTTATTAGGATGGCTACTATTAAAATAGAAGAAAATATCAAGTGTTGGAGAGGTTATGGAGAAATTGGAACCTGTGTGCACTATCGACGGGCATGTAAAATGGTGTAACTGCTGTGGAAAACAATGTGGCAGCTGCTCAAAAAAAATAAACTTGGAATTACTGTATGATCCAGCAATTCCACTTCTGGACATATACCCAAGAGAATTTAAAGCAAGGACTCAAATTGATATTTGTACACCTCTGTTCATAGCTGTATTTTTTGCATTAGCTAGAACGTGGAAGCAACCCAAGAGTCCAACTATGGATGAACAGATAAATAAAATGCACACAATGGAATATTATTTGGCATTGAAAAGGAAGGAGGTCCTGACACATGCTACAACATGAATGAACTTTGAAGTTATTTTGTTAAGTGACATAAACCAGACACAAAAGGACAAATATTGTATGATTCTATCTATATGACATACCTAGAGTCATCAAATTCATAGAGGCACAGAATGGAATGGTGGTTGCCAAGAGCTAGGGGAAGGGGAAATGAAGAGTTACTGTTTAATGGGTATAGAATCTCAGATTATAGGGGAAGGAAAGAATTCTGGAGATGGATGGTGACGGTGGCTGTGTGACAATGAAAACATTTAATGCCACTAAACTATATACATAAAAATGGTTAAAAATGAAAAATTTTATGTTAAATGTATCACATAAACACAATTTTTAAAAAATTTTAAGGAAGCATCACTCTTAGGGTCATATCAGTGCTGGGCTACCCCTTGGTCCCTAGTTGTGGCCCTACTAGTACCACTCTGCTGTCTCAAACTTGCCTAGATGCTCCTCTCATGTAATCCAAACTTTGCTAGATTAAAAACAAATGATAATTATTATTTACAAAAGTGCAATTCTGTGATTGTGCATCCATTAACAACTGCATTTTAGAAAGATATCCACAGCACTCCTTTCCTCTAGGGCTCTCATCACAGGCCAGTGAATGTATAAGGGACAGGAAGTAAAGAGCCCCAAGTGGCTAGGGTTAGGAGTTTGGGGTCAGTTAGGACATCTGAGTATATTCTAAACGGGGTGCATTAATTAGTTCACTTTGTTTACTTTACATACTTGGAATGAGGGCTTCCTATTTCCCATGCACATTTATATAAGATAGTCCATAAATAAGGACATTTCCCTAGAGGCCTGGAAGGTGTCTGTTTATTTACTTCATTTTTGTTTCCTTCAGCATAATGTTCTGGAAAGGAAAGTTTCTCAGGTAAACTAATGATGTCTGTACTTTCACAGAAAAAGTGCAAAGAAAGTTGTGTTAACTGACAATGAGGAAAGTAATAAAAATACAAATAGAGTATCAGGCAAGAAGGTAGTAATTTAATGAAGGGCAGTCAGCAGAGAGGCCTGAGTGAGATGTCACACTCAGTTGATGTCACCTCTTTATGGCTTGCCTGAAAATATGTTCGAAGGGGAGAGAGAGGGAAAGGAAAATGGAGTGGGAGAGGGAAAAGAGAGGGGAGAGGAAAGGAGGAGGAAGAGAATAAGTAGGAGGAGGAGAAAGTGGAAGGGAGGGAAGGAGAGATGAAGTGAGAAAAGGGAAGAAAGGAAGGGAGGGACGGAGGACTGACTTAGCAAGACCAAACTGAATTGATCATTGTTCTCTCAGTCAGTGTCAGCTTTTCCTTAGCCCCCAGGTGAGATCCCATAAAACCATAGCTAAATGTTTCCCCAGTGCACTCATTTTATAATCTCAGTCCAGGCTCCTTCATCTCACCTGGATTTCTGGAATTGTTTATTCTCTGGGCTTTCTTGCTTCCTTCAACCCACTTTCCATACCATAGGTCACCAGCAATCCAATAGTCTTTCTAAAAGAGAAGCCTGTTCATGGTGCACCTCTGATTCCAGTTGATCCTTGTTGCTTTAGGAAAATAGCCAGACTTCTTCACTCAGCCTACTTGGCATTACTGTGGCCCATCCATCCACTGTTAGATCTGCAGTCCATCCATATTGAACCCCTGTCTGTTTCTTGACTGAACCAAGTTCTTTAGCTTCTCCGCCCATGCTGTTGTCTTTGCTAGGAATACCTCTGACATTTTCACAAGCTGGGACACACTTCTATCTCTGGGTCTGGCTGAATAGTACCATGCTTCAAGTCTTAGCTTAAAAGTCAATTTCTCTAGAAAAGATTTCCTGAACATTCTTTTACCCCCATTTATTTAAGTTCTAATGCCTTGTGCTTCCCCTACTTATGTCGCTCATTTGACTGTCTTTCTCACTAGTCAGAAGCTCTGCAGGACAAGGATCATATCTGTCATGCACATCAGTTTCTTAAAATGACAGAAAATAGCTACTTTTTTCTGTTTTTAAATGAATGGCCATTAGAAAGGCCTGGGGTCTTCCAGTTAAGATGGCAACATAGCTAAACATCGTTCACCACCTTGCACAACCACATCAAAATTACAACTAAATTATAGAATAACCATCACTCAGAACCATCAGAAATCAAGTTGAATGGAAGTCTACCAACTACAGAATTGAAGAAACCACATCTATCCAGACTAGTAGGAGGGGTGGAGACGTGGAACGGGCTGGTCCCACGTTCACATGTGCCTAAAAATTTGGGAAGGGGATAGAGAATCAAGATGGTGGAAGAGTGAATGGAAGTCATACTGATCTCCTCCCAGGACCAATCTGGAATTACAACTAAATTGTGGAGAAATCACCTGGAACAGACAACTGAACAATAGCGAGAAAGGAGCCTTATAACCTTAGACAGAGAGAAGAATCAGCGTTAGCACAACCTAACTGGTAAGAAGTGCAGTAAAGACTCGAGAAGGCAGGCAGGGTGCCCTCAGGTGGCAGAGCCAGAAGGCTATTGAAACAGCCAGTTGGATCCCCCTGAGATGAGCAGGGTCTAAACCATAAGCAGGGATCTCCAGCCTGCAGCACCAGAGCCCAAAAAGTACACAGACAACAACCATCTGTGAAAAGCAGCAGGGTTGCTCTCTGCTAGAGACAGGAGGCTGGAGACACAAAAATCTGTTTAAAGGGCCAATGCATAAATTTTTATTTCCAGCCATTTACTCTGGGTTCTGGCAAAGGTGGAGGCAGAGTGAGCTAGAGACGCCTAAGGAAGACTGGGGAAAGAAGCTTTGGGGAGAGAACTGAGAGTAGCTGGCGGGATCCCAAGGCTGACTCCTCCCCGATAGGCAGCAGCCATCTGGCTCAGGCAGACCACTCCCCTGAGTGGCAGCAGTATGAGAGGATGTAGTAACCCTGTCCCCATGTGGGACTGTGCCCCCCACTATGTGGTGTCTAAGCCTGACTGCTGAGTGCAGAGTGACTAGATTAATAACTGAAGGACATAGCCACAGACAGCAGA